ATTTAAACTTTAATTCACGTTGACTGGCGAAAAACTCTGCCCGGTTCCCTCGGCCCCCACCGCGGAGAATAAACAGAAGGGCAACCATGACAACCATGCTTCTTCGCTGCTTTTGTGGAGGAAGTTACAGCGCCACGTACAGGCTCCTGCATATGTACTGCAGCTTCTCCAGCGGTTGGAGCTAAACGGAGCTGTCTCGTGTGGACAGACACTATCCGGTGAATATTGCGTGTGGACGGAAGCTTTTTTGCGATTGCGTTTGCGTTAATCCTATGCGTTTAGCCGTTTTCGTCCTCGTGTGGCCGGGGCCTATATGACTAAACAGTAACGCAAACGACCGTTGTCGTCCTCGTGTGGCCGGTGCCTTAGAATCAGGCCTGCTTCTCCTGGCATCTCTCACTGAAAGCTACCATTAGAGACAATTCTTTCAGGGAGTGAGAGCGTCACAGCTGGACGCTGACAGGCTCATTGTTTCAAACATCAAATCCGTCATATGCCATCGCAGACAACAGCACAGCCCTATTTTGTTGCACTGATGTAAACAAACAGTTTATTTGGCAAGGTGGCAGAGTCTGGGCTGAATTTGCTGAATGAGTTTGAGCAATAGCCCAAACTTGACTTAACATAGTGATCATATCCTTCATGGTGTGTATCCATTAACAGCAGGAAGTCCTACCCAGAATAAGCCATTTGTTGACGTGTAAGTCTCAAGTAGGCCTATCTGTACTCTCCTCCACATCGCGCAGGCAGAACAAGCTTCTTGTCTTTCTGTCTGCATTGCGTAAGGCCCCAGTGGACTTTTGGCTTTGTGATTCATTATTAGACCCTGTACTCTGCACAATGCCCCGGCCATGGGGCGAACTTTTGGCAGTCCAAAATCAATGCCACCTGATGTGAATCAAAGTACAGGGTCAAGTTTCCAGGGCACAGGGCTCTGCCACATAACGACAGAGATTAATTTGGTTTATTCAAAGAATGACTCCTGCAGCCGTAGGATTGTAGAAACAATGAAGGAGGTATGTCAACCAAGAGGGTGGCAAATGTCTGTGCACACATGATAAAATAAACCCCCCACCCATTATTTAGCTGGTTCTTAACTGGTGGCAGTTTCTTGTCTCTGAAGTTAGTTAGCGAAGCATTTTACGGCAGCAGACAAATACAGTGAATCCATTATTGATCCGGTGAATCAGCATTAAGCATGCCATCTACTTGCATATGTTTTTATTTAAAGGTCCCATGTCATGCTTTTCCGGTTATTACCCATCCCCTTGTGTGTTATGAAGGTTTGTATGCATGTAATGGTCTGCAAAGTCACAAACCCTCAAAGTGCACCCTGTAGCGAGTAAAACTCTAACACAGAAAAGACCTGTCTATGGTGCCCCAGAACGCCTCTTTGGAGATTTCTCTTTTTCCATTGTTTTCTTCCTGGGTACAGTGACGTGCCCATACCCAAATGGACCCAATCCGTGGAGCTCCTCACACAGACACTCTCTCAGCAGCGAAACTGAGGCTTACACTGTAGGTGCGCCGCGTTTTGGGGGTGGGGGGTTGCGGGTGCTAGTGGAGCCTCGCTGATGGCCTCAGCCTCATTTGTTTGTCCTTACTGGTGTCATTTTATGGTTGCTAACGCCATTGTAACACATAATCACTGATGTTCCGCTATAACGGTGGTAGACTCATCAGAACAGAGTGGGCGAGCTGACCAATCAGATTACAGTGGGCTCACAGGGAGGGGGGGGGGGGGGGGGGGCAGGAGCTCCAACAAGCCGTTTAGGAGTGAATACACATACTATACAGAGATGCTGTATGAGAAACCAATGTGAGTTTGGAAAATTGCAAAATATGAATCTAGCAGGGACGTGCACAGGTACGGGCTAATGTTGCCCGGACAACGGCCCGTTTGGCCTTTTTGGCTGACCTGCCCCTCTGGAGAGAGCGAGAGTTTGTTTTTCTTTTTTCTGTTGTGGCCGAATCAACATGATAAACCCACAATTAGTATTGTAGCGTCTCGCTGCGGGAAACACACTTTGTCAGCGCTGTCATCTGCCGGTGCGTTAAGACCACCTCAGTGTCGGATTTTGGAAACTTGATTTTGAGTTGTCTCATGGCGCAGTTAGGGTATAAGGGACAAACCAGGGGACTTTACTTCCTCTTGATAACGTCGGTTATTTACAAAAAACACCTAAATATAGCCTACTTGTTGTTATTGTGCTTCTGTCTTTCTGTGTCTTTTCATCTGTAAACTCCCTCAACGCACCGCTCGCTCTCTTTTCTTGATCGCCCTCTCAAGGGTGAACAGTTCAATGTCCCGCTTCATTGTAGGATTTCTGCCATGTCTCTACCACTTTAGTTTGACCATCTCTGTTATTAAAGGGATAGTGGAAATCCGCGAATTTTGGGTTTAACTTATGTATTTTTATTAAAAATAAGCATAATAAACACTTTTTTTTTATTTCATGCGCCTAGTTTCATTTTATTTTCAATTTTACTGCGCCCTCTCAATGAAACGAAATACTTCGGAAATCGTCGGGAATCTTCGGGTGATGACGAGAGCAAAGGAAGACGGGCACAAACAATGGCGGACATTCAATAGCATTTGCATGTGAATAGCCGACCTTTATTATGGTGAATAGATGTGTCAATACTTTATACCGAGTATATTGCCATAAATATGATGATTGATTATCAGTAAAACATTCTACGTGACACAACGACATTGGATTAACCTTGAGATGCGTTTTTATTCCGTTGAACACAACTTTTGATCACAAATCAAAAAAGGTAAGACGTAATTATTGTAATATTTTTGGAACCGGATGTTGTTTACTTTCTCTTTTCTGGCTGATATCTCCAGGAATTCGAGGTCTTACAGTGATGACATTACATGTGTGGAATCTGTGGAGTCTCAGCTTTAAATCGTATATCTTGTTTGTGCAGTTAAGATAGTAATAAGGGCATTTCTACCGTGTGTTGTGTGTAAAAAAGCGTTAGCATTAGTTAGCATTGTTTCGCTCAATGCTAATTCAAAGGCTTGGTATTACTCTTGTGTTTTTTCTAGCTAACAATTGTTCTTATTGTCAGTTAGCGGAGTTTCTTACCTTTAAAAGGGTATGAAACATTAATAGTTTCATAAATGTTAAGAAGCCCTGAGACATGTGAGAGAAAAAAAACTGTGGGAGGGGTCCACTGGGGGGACCTTCGGCCTTAACTGGTTAACAATGATTAATATTTGTAAAGGCTACAGGTGATCTTAAGATGCGTGAGCTATGCTTAGGGACCTACCAGTCAAGATTATTTGTGCGTAGGGGTGCATCATCTGGCGCCTGGTCCTGGTCATCCTCGCCATTGCCCATGCTGTGAACCATCACCTCGGGCTCGGGCTCGAACAAATAAGGACGTAATGGTCCATCGTCTGGCTCAATATTGTCACCATCGTCGCTTACTGAACCGGATTCAGATTCAGTTCCTAAAACGACATTTTCGTAGGAAAGCCGAGAGGATGTTTCTGACTCGCTATCATCACTGGATACCTCGTACAATCCTTCTTCTTTGTCTGGTATATTTGCCCTTCCACGTTCATTCTGCATAGACGCCATGGTTTGTTATCGTATCGTCTTCCTGAGTTTTCGTCACTTCCGGTTTGGCTGAGTCGAACATTTCGTTTCTAAAAAACTTCGGGGAAGCTGCAATAAAGTGCTTCTAACATGCGTAAGGCAATTATTATATATTTTTAATCAGGTGTGATTGTTTTGGTACGTAATTATGCTTGTATATAAGTTAAAACGAAACTATTTGAGGTTCCATTTCCACTATCCCTTTAAGTTATGGAATACTAAATAAATAAGTAATTAGATACCATACCGTTTGTCCTTATAAAGAATGATAAGAATACGAATAATGCGTATTGAACTGGTTTAATTAATTAGTGAGTTTATTTAAGGTAATTAGTTAGATGCCCTTTATCGATATGTCTGCATAGCAGTTACAATGGTCAAACTACATTAGCACAGAATTGTCCCCATTTTCTCTTTAATAGTTACTAACATTAGATATTTTGATGAGATATGGACCGCAAAACAAACAATTTCCCTTGTTTTCATTTTTTAAATCAAGTTACCGAATGCAAGTAGTCGCCTTAGCTTATTTTGTTATGAGATGTGAATTACTGTTCAATTTAGTTGATGTAATAATCGTTTGGTTTGTTTTACATTAAAAACAAGTTACAATTTTCAAAAGGTCTTGTGTTTTTTATCAGGGGGAGGCCCTTTTTCCAGTTTAGAGCAATAGCCCCTCCAAATGTCTGTGCACGTCCCTGTATTCTAGTGTACCTCAACAATGGAATTATGATCAGGAGAAATGGCCATGACATGGGACCTTTAAAGGGGCATTACACAGATTTTACAAATGCACAATAGTTTACTTTTCACAGTAAGTGCTACTCTATTAACTTATAAATGTATTTGGTGGCTTTTGTCAGGTCTGGATAAAAAACCCTAGAAAATGTGTGTTACAAACACAGGTGTGCTAAGCAGGTACAGGCAAACATTGTAGGTCACTGCACATGTATGCAAAATTAGATTGTTATGAATTCATATTTCAAATATAAATTCATGTATCTGCACTTCACCTAGTCTCTCTACCTGTGTGAAAAATGCTTTGATACATAAATGATTAATGAATCAAATGCTTTGTGATAACATCATGTTGTAAATTGACCTGAGAACCAATCAACATCGTAAAATACATATAAGTAGCAGGGTGATCTAATGGTGTTTTTTTCTTTCTTTTAATCTAATTTGATTGCGTCACCACAACCTGACACCAACAGATGTGGGACTAAATTATGTTATCACACCTGCTATCTGTTTATGCGTTTATTAGTTTAAGGGAAGGGAAAGACACTTATTAAACATGTTTTCACTTATATATTGCATTGCAGTGCTGTATGTGCTCAGGGATTTGGTAAAATATCTATTTATCATAATGGCTTTTTTCTCCAGCTTGTTACGGCCGTTTGGCATGGGGGCTACAACTTCTACTGCCAGGACACTCACAGTGCACAGGAAGTGGATAATAAGGTGAGTCCGATTAACACTGTCAAACATTTTGATGTTTATTGCTGCTAATTTCAATTGTCATCTTTAAAACAAAGTCCTTTATTTCCCGTTCTGTTTCTTGATATTATTAACAAAGCAGTACATGTATAAATAGCAGTTTTTCTAGGACAACTGAAATATATTTAATATTAAGCACAATGTGTTTATTTTCTTAGCTATGATTTCTTTGGGTGAATACCTTTAAATCCCAGTGGATAAGCCGCAGAAACAGGGAGTCGATTTAATCCGACTCATGTCACCATGATGACTCTCTGCAGCTGCCCTCCTGAGCTCTGAAGGTGAAAACAAGGTTCCAAGTGAAAAGTGCACGGCTTTGCAGTTCTGCTGTGATTGAAAAAAACATGTTATGACTCTGTTACGGCCTCAGATAGTTTAATTACTTGATGATTCTACCTGACCTTTCAGGACCTTGGAGACAGACGTCTGCTTATCACCTTGCATGGTTGGAACTTTTGAAAAACTTCTGCTTGTATTGATTGCTTCAGGAATAATAAATAATTTTCTAACCATTTGTTTTCACTGCGTCTCTTTTCAGATCATCAAGGTCCTGTGGTGGTACTACTTCTCCAAGCTCATCGAGTTCACGGACACCTTTTTCTTTATTCTACGGAAGAATAACCACCAGATCACGTTCCTTCACATCTACCACCATGCTAGCATGCTGAATATCTGGTGGTTCGTAATGAACTGGGTACCCTGCGGCCATTGTGAGTGTTTTAACACAACTTTGCCCTCCAGTGACTCAAATCACTCTATAGTAACCACGTGTACTGTTTGGACCCCAGGCAATCTAAATAATTCAAGTACTCCAATGTTAAACCCATTTGCCTTGAATACAGCCTGTTTTAGCCACACAGCCTTAAAGTGAGACTTATTGACCTGAATGCTGCTGCGCTCTGCAACACACACATATTTGTAATGCTCTATTAGATCTGTGTGTTAAACAGCAGTCTGCAAGGAGTTCTGGATCGTCCACTGAAAACCTCCTTATCAATGAGCCTTTTACTATTGATTTTAATTTAAAAAACTGTTCAGATCTAACATGTTTCATTATTCATCAGACGCTCACTGTATTATTTCTGTATTACTTTACTTTGAATGGCTTCTATTGATTTAACATGAACTTTGTAGTAATGGTTTCAAACAAAGCGACCTAATGAAAAGTAAGTTATTCCCCATGATCATTGCACTCCTGAATAGTTACTGACACTTATTGCCTGCAGTAGATGAATAACGTCCTGTGTCTCTCCTCTGTGTCTCCGCAGCATACTTTGGTGCCTCCCTAAACAGCTTTGTCCACGTTGTGATGTATTCTTATTACGGTCTGTCAGCCATACCAGCCATGCGGCCATACCTTTGGTGGAAGAAGTACATCACAAAGTTACAGCTGGTGGGTCCTCCTGTTGTTTCTTCAGTGAAATAACTTTTACTTGTTCACTTGAATTATCTTTTTTAAGTAAACAATACACATAAGGAAAGCTCAATTGCTTATGATGTAGTTACACATGAATAAGCTCTTTATTGTATTGTAGACTTATTATTACTGATGCATTAATGTCTAGGTAGCCTTTTACTATTGTAGATGGTCGAGTTTAAACAAGTTTTTATTATTTTATATATATTGTTGGACAGTTTAATATGCAAAACATTTCAATATTTCTTTTTTTTAAACAAGTCAGACATTGCAGAAGAATGCTACAGTACATTTAATATTTTAATGACTTTGTTTAAATGTTAACCCAGCATAGAAAATAACAGGTGACTACAACTGCCATATAAATGTGTTGGATTACAAAACAATATTTGACTTGAAATGTAGTGAATTGAAGTTTATTTCCTTATTTTACATTTAAAAAATCATAAATGTAAAAACATGTGATAGTTGATTTATTCACTTTACAACATGGAGCTGATGTTTCTCGTTGGATGTCAAAAGTGTCCATGGACTATTTTCTGCCGCACCCTCTTTCACTGTCCATTAAAATATATTTTAGGCTCCGGGTCAATATGTTTCCATAGGCTCTCTGTGTGTCACCTTCTCATTTAATATGTGACGGCCTGTGTGTGTTGCGTTTCCTCCACAGATCCAGTTCTTTTTAACCATGTCCCAGACGATGTGTGCGGTCATATGGCCATGTGGCTTCCCCAAGGGATGGCTGTACTTCCAAATAAGTTACATGGTTGTGCTCATTGTCCTTTTCTCAAACTTCTACATACAGGTTGGTTTTCTGTTTTGAACCGATTATTAATGAGTTATATTTTCTTCTGAATAATAAACTATTACAATGTTGGTTTATAGGTTTTTCAGTTCTGTTACTGATAGGAGGCTCTTTGGGTTTATTAACAAAGAGAACTATGATGGAACGTTTAATTTAAAACACACAAACTTACCATGTAAACAATAATAGTATTTGTGTTCCTGTATACATTTTTTAAAGAGTAAACTGTTAACCTTATTACATTTTGATGATCTTTGTGTGTAACAACATGTTACCTGTGCCTCTCTTTCAAGACGTACAAGAAGCACAGTGGTTCTCTAAAGAAGGAGCATCAGAACGGCTCTCTTCTATCGACCAATGGACATGTAAATGGCACGCCATCTACGAAGACCACTGAACACAACAAACTGAGGGTGGATTGACATTTGAGAAACCGCCACCTAATTATCACTTTAGCGTGTTAGCTTATGCTGCTAGGAGGTATCTTCTTATCTAGAATAGTTTAGCACTCAGTCGAGATGAAATACGCCATAGCCATATATATCCACCGACTTTCCACTTGTTTGCACACGTTCCTACTCATGTTATTGAATTATTAAATGTATACAGAAAAGTATTGTAGTATGGTTGCACAATATTGCCTCCCCTACCCTAGAGGATATATTCACTTGAAAGCAAAACAAATCCCTTTCTTGCTACCAGCATTCAAACACACATTCATTTGCACACAAGAGGTCCAAAGATGAAGGCTGGAGAGAGTCTGTTGGTAGCTGAAAGTTTCATCACACTTGATGACGTCTCTGTTTCAGCAACCCTTAATGTGTAACTACAGCATTGTGTGTCTGCTTTATCTCACTATCTGTACTGTTGCATAATCCTAAATTATTCCCATTCTAACACCTAAATGCATTTTGATTGACTGGTTGTAACAGCATACTTTCCCTTGTATATTTGCAGAGCAGGTTCTCGAATTCCGAATATTTGCCATTTAACTAAAGCATATCCAAAGCATAGTGTACATAGTGTATTTGCTAAAGTTTGTATTTAAACTAGTTCAACACACAATGAGGACAGTTGTTGGGTTAAATGAGCACAATAACACTATATTTTCCTTATCTTTCCCTATGTTATAAAATGATAACACTGGGCTCTAAAATCTACTGTAGCTTTATCCCATAAATTCAATTAGAACTTTAATTAATTGACATTTATTACATTTAATTGAATAAAGAAATGCCCATTAGGTCTACGGTGCAGCTATTCATTGGTAACTATTTAGAATAATTGTTTCGTTGTATAATGTATTGTTTTGAGTCTTTACATAAATAGGGTGCCTTCTGGACCAGTCGATTTGGTTTTCAATGTGATATTTTTCATCTTTTTAAAATGCTATTACCAGATTCATGTTGGTCCATTTCAGACTTCCAGTTAAAATCCTGTGCCTGACTATTTATGTCTCGTTTTTGAAAATATCATTCCTATTCCTATAGCAATTGACACATACGTAATGCAACACTGATGTTTATCCTATGTTAAAGGCAAGGGAGAGGTACTTTTTCTTATGATTTCTTTCTGAGAGTTAGATGAGATCAATATTCCCACTGTATAAGTTAAACTGCAGCTGATAACCTTAGCCTAACATAAAGACTGGAAACGGGATACAGCGGTAACAAAAGAGCCAGGTACGCTGTTCACGTTTTCCAATCTGTATGCTAAGCTAGCCTGCTGTATGTAGCCTTGTACAGTATTTAGAGTACAGATGAAAGAATGGTATCAATCTTTCCATCTAGCCGTTGGCAAGAAAGTAAAACAAAATGTCAAATTATTTCTTAAACAAATTCCAAAAACTGTTCCTCATTTTACAATTTTAACATGTTTTTAAAAAATGCAAAGAAAAAGTAATTATATGAGAATTATTTGTTTAGTTTTTTGAGTGGATAAAGAAGGTTGTAATGATTTAACTATGATTTCCTATGTGTTCCTTTTGTTTATGTTATTTTATCTTTACCCAAACTATTGCCAGGGTAAACAAAGTAAATGCTGGTATTGAAAACAAAGGTACAATGTGCGCATTATAAACTGTAAATCTAAAGCCCTCGCTGTGGAGCACTGCTGCGGTGCTCTACCATGCTGAATCAATTTAATGAGTTTCTGTATGGCCTTAACCACTGAATGCTCATCACATGATGCTCAAATGTATAGGTGACCTAGATTCAGGTCTACTGCATCAGTAATTATTGTTACATTCTGAATTAATGGCCACATTGTATCTGCTTCAGGAATTTGGTCAGGAAGATCTGCTATAACAGACAACCTGTTCATACATTAGCAATATCTAGATAATCTGGATACCTGGATAAGCATCAAATTACACCGTAGTTAATTAAGGCCAAAGAAGCATACACATAGGTAATGACATAAAATATACATTTTATAGACTGTTAAAATAGATATATATATTTTCTGAAATCGATGGGGTAAATGTTGGTTCACATGTTGTGACTCATGCTTTACTCAATGTAAAACATTAAAAACAAATTGAGATTGTAAACTTGTTTTCCTTTCTTTGAAGTGATGTAAATATTATATGAAGACGAACAATATCTGCAGAGTTTAGAGTTTACTGAGCCTTATTACCTATTTAATGTTGGTTTTAAAACATTTAGTAAAGAGGATGAATGGTAATGTTAGTTTGTTGGTTGGTTCAGTGCTAATAAGCAACTGTAGCATGCTAATATGCTAAACTAAGTTGGTGAACTTGGTAAATGTTATACCAGCTAATCAAGCATGATAGCATTGTCATTCAAAGCATGTTAGCATGCTAACATTAGCCTTTAGCTCAAAGCAGTGCATGACTAGATCCAATATCAGCTAATTAAGAGAAGCTTTTGAATAACATTATCAACAAATATTGTACAGCATAATATCAAAGAATTGAAAGGTAGCCTACTCCAAAATGATAAACCATAACATATTTTGGTTGAATGTAACCTATTGTGTGTATGGTACTACTGTACGGAGCCCCTAGGGACAGAGAAAAAAATAAGAGAGAGAGAGAAAAAAAAAAAATCTGGATAACGGGTTAGTATCTCGTGCACACGAGAAAGTATCTTGTGAAAAAAAAAAAAGTCGAGATAACGGTTTAAGAGACATAAAAAAAATGACAAAAGAAATAATGTCAGGAAAACGAGTACGTTTCTCGTGCGCACGAGAAACTAATTTACATAAAATAAAATGTTGCACTGGAAAAAATACGTCTTTGGGTTTTTAAATCAGATTATTTTCTTCTTTATTTGTAAAGTTGAGTTTTTACAATGGGAATAATACAGATATTATGGTTTCTTGTAGAAAGTGAAAAACTGAAGAGGACGATAGATGTGTTCTAAAGGTAATTTTAGTATAAAACAAACTTCTAAAGCTTTAACACATGTTTAACCTTTACTCCACTATGGCTATCACTCTCTTGATCCACCTCTGGACCATGCAGACTTGTCGCTCTGGTGTTTCACAAACAGCTCACATTTTAATTAAGGACAGAGCGACAGTTTGTGAGCTTTGCTAGCATGTCTTCTGGCCAGCCATGATACAAACAGCGGGTTGATAGTCTCAAAGTTATTCCTTGAAAGATGCACTATGATAAGAATGTGTCAGTTTACTCTTTTCTTTGTTAATGATGTATTGGACAAATTCTCTACATCAGCCTTTAAGTGTGAATCAACATCAAAACTGTGAAATTTAAAAGCCAGGGTAAGAAAAGGCAACCAGTCCAGACTCCAGGAAGTAACTGCACCCGACCAACAAATAGTCTGGCACATAAACCCATGTACTGTAAAACCAGTTTGTCCTATTTTACTCTTAAACAGCTTAACCAGACGAGATGTAGAGTGGTATGTTTTAGTCGTACTGGTAGGCATATTTTTGTTACATTTGGACCAACCCAGGCTCTCAGTAAGCTGCGTTGTGATACGATTTTTATATAAAATAGAAGATTGACTTAAATCCCAAAACATTGTACATATGTCCTAATTGTCCAGAGTAGTAATACAATGCTGCATTGGTTTGAAGTTGAGCTAAACAGAAATAAATTGTCTTGCCATTTTTATTGAGTTATTACTGGAGAGTTCCTTTGTTGAAAAATCAACTAAGGTCAGGTCAACCAGCCACAAATCATTTAGCATAATCCAATACAACTTTCACATTCATTATTTTATTCCCTCTGCAAATCCTGTTTGATCAATCTGTGTTTGGTTCTCAGAGAATGGAATACGTGGATAATGCCTGTCCTCAGCAAGACAAATGATGAACTGTAGAAGTCTGAAATCACATTTTCACTGAGGTTGTGTAATAGGATCTCCATATTTTTTTTCTATGATGTAACATTGTTCCTCTATTCCTATAGCTATATTGGATACATAAAGGCCTGGTTTTACATCACTACCGAGTGTCTGATATTTCAGTTTTTTTAAGATTTACCCAATTTCCTTCAATGTAGTACTTGACAATACATGTAATTCTTTACATTTTCACCACTTTTTATTTGAGGGAGAAGGTGAACCATGAAACACAGTGTAAACATTCAATGCTTGGAACAGGTGGGAAAGGTTGCTAATTATTTTAGCTCTCAGCACATTATTATAGTTTCTGAAATCAGAAAATAAGTAGTATTCTATTTTGTAAACCATCAACAAAAAGTGATCTCATAAGTAACATGAATGTTCGATTATATAACATCATATTCAAGCTGCAGTACAAATTAACCAAGCTGAGGAGAATGCATTCTGTGATAATGGTAGAGGAACTTTTGCTGTTGTCTTGCTGGGATTGTGTGCAGGTCTCCAGGCTGCTTAAAGAGGCTGAATGGAAAATGCAGTGTAGCTCTTCACACGTGCAAAGATGAAGGGCTGGTACATGCTGTCCAGGTCGAACGCAGTGATAATCGTTTCCCCACTCAGCCTAGAAAAAAAGAAATAATGTCAATTTTTAAAACAAATGGAGGATAAAACACATCTTAACTACTGTTACAACTTGTATCTCTTACTTGTAAGTGATGTGGCAGGAGTGATGGATCCACGACAGCTTACTGAGACTCTGAAGCCCCCCAGAGGACAGATGCAGTCCAACGTGGAAGTTGTGTTCAACCTCCGGAGACTGGTTCCGCCTGCAGAACCGATTCTTCTGAAACTCGGTTGCTTTCTGTAAAACAAATAACACAGTTTACAAGCTGAGCCATGAACTGAGAGGTTAACTGTTTTCATTTATTTTTGGAAATGGTCAATTTACATTCATGTGCCTCAGTAATGTGTTACTTTGACTCTACCAATGAAGGAATGAGTGGTGCAACAGCTCATATTTGAATCTCAGTTTCTTTATCTGATCAGAGCTTTAAAGGATGTACAGTGAACACTGTCTTTTTCCTTCATATACATCCTTATGTTACCCCAAACCCCCCCCAGGTTATTCTCACCTCCTCCTTCTTCTTGCAGACAACAGCAAAAACTTTGGTTTGATTGTCCGTCTCCTGTGACAGACGGTAATGACCGTGCAGAACAGACTCCATTCTGTGAAATCAAACAAAATGTAACAATTGTGAAAAGTACTGCCACTCAGTCTGTTAAATGACTATTTATTGAAATCGTTCTAGCTGAGTTAGCAGAAAAAGGGAAAGGTGTACCTGACGTTCTTAGTGCGCAGACGAGGAACAACGCTCAGAGGGTCGTCAGGGGAGGTCACCATGACTACGTGGCCATCAGAGAAGAAGCGCAGGTACCTGATATAACAATTTCAGCTTTTAGCCTGTATACTTATACAACGCACAATCAAAGATAATGTTTGAAGTCAACAATTTACCTGTAGTACTCAATGTGATGCCAAGCCCTGTAAAATCCATCCAGTGATGCCTCTCCTTGACGTATGTATGATGTTTTGCTGATGTAAACACCTGTGAAAGTAAAATGCATGGAAAGCTTAACATCAAGTAAATAGAAAAATATATAGAATTGGAGGATGAACCCTCTATATTTGTCACACATAGCACAATTTGGTCTCTGCTTTTAACCCATCTTAGTACTAAGAGCTATGGGCAGCTATTGTACAGGGAACAATGGGGAGTGGGGATGGTGTCCGGTGCCTTGCTCAAGGGCAACACGGCACACCTTCCCAAGTAGTAGTCCACACTCCATATTTAGGTCTGTTCGGGACTTGAACCTGCGACCCTACGGCTCACAGTCCAAACCCCTACTGACTGAGCCACTGCCAGACAGTCATGTTGTATGATGTTAAATGCAGTGATAATAGAAGAGTTAAGAATGCTGTAATATTGTTTGCATTAGCAATATTTTGAGACATTGATTTTGAGTGTATAATGCATACAAAGATTATCATAAGGCTTGCACCAATATTTTATTATCATAAATTAATCATTGTTGTGGAGAATAATAAAACCCCAAGACCAGTTGCTTAGTTGCGCTGTTTACTACAAAGCCAAAAAACTGATCAGCAATTTCACACTACATATTGTTAGGAGCATGCATGTCTCAAAATTATTCAAAATATTGTAACAAAACAACTGTTGTTTTATTTATTTATTTATATATGTTATTATTGAAACTGTTATTTTATAGGGCTGACATGGGTTGGGAAATATAACATATCAGTAACGGTATCATACTGTAAACTAAGACACAGAATCCAAAATAAGTGACCGATAAAGCATTTGATTACCATCGAAACGCACACGAGGCCTTTGCAGAAACATCTCCCTCCAGGATTTGAAAGGTGCAATTTTAGTGCAGTTCCTTCCCCACACTCTTGAACAGGCGGAGTGCCAAATCTCAGGGTCCCTGGAGGAAAAAAAAAAAGTCAAAATAATAAGCAAGAGTAAACCTAAAACCCTGCATATATAACTGTCTTTCCATAATTACATCTTTTGTGCATTCAAAATGTAAAGTCCCCAGTTTGCCCGTTCCAACATCAGGAATGTTGAGAGGCAAATTGTCACACATCATATCTGTAATAACAGAGGGGCTCACCTTGCACAAATGTAAAACCCCCGGCAAACCAAGGACAGCTGCTGCAGGGCTCGCATGTCCAGTTCGCTCGACACAACCCAACGGAAAATGTACATTAGGATTTCCCGGGGAAATTCTGCAGTCAAATAAATCACGAGACAAATGTGTTAAAATATAGAAGTCTATAATTGGTTTTAGACATGTCTACAATCTAAATGAAAATCAGTTTGGTACCTGAGATGTGCATCTGAGTGAAATCCAACTGAGGAGTGCAGATCTTTGGAAGGGAACAGTCCAGATTAAGATCCTGCTCAAAATATGAGAGTAGATCCTCGATCTCACCATCAACACTGTCCTCCCTGCTGCAATTAAAAGAAAAGTACAGTTTGCATCATTTAAAAACAATGCAACAAGCACTTTTAGTGTAGCACAACAGCTCTTTGGTAATGAAATGTATTCGA